CAGCTTATCTGCCCCTCATGTGAAATGACAGGACAGACATAGAATAACAACTACAGTGATTCTAGTTCAAAAAGAGGGAACATGGAGGTGATAAAGAAGTCACTGACCCAAAATAGTTTGGAAATGGAGCTGGGCAAAATCCAGCAGGAGTTTCTTAATTAGGATCCACAGCCTGGGACTGTGTGTGGTCTATACAAGGAGTCACAGCTCACTGGGAAGAGAAGCTACTGGAGTCAGCAACTGGAAGGAGCACTTAAATAGTATTAACAGATTACTAGAAGCTGAAGGTGGTCTGGCTAGAGCATTAAAAACTCCTTGAAACCCAGACTAAGGGGGAATCTTACACATTTCCAAGTTTTACTACAATGATCTCAACCAGGTTCTCATGACGAAGTTCAGAAAACCCCCTGAGGTTTGGCACTACCAACTTCAGGACTTACAATAAGCTACAGTAACCCAAATAGTGTGAAGCTGGTGAAAAGAGAAAACACACACAAATAGATCCATGGAAAAGAATACAGAGCCCAGAAGCAGGCCTACATACAGTCCACTGATCTTCCATGGAGGTTTAGAGACAACTTAAAACAGCAAAAATAGCCTTTGCAACTAGTGGTGCTAGGACAGCTGGACAACCACATGCAAAAAAATACATAAATAAATCCAGGTATGCATGTTATACCTTTATAAAATAAATCTTACACGTAAATGTAAGGTGCAAAACCATAAGAATCCTAGGAGATAACATCGGAGAAAGTCTCGGGGATCTTGGGTTCGATGATGGCTTCTTAGATACAAAACCAAAACCACAATCTACTAATGAAAAAAATTAAGTTGAGCCTCATTAAAATTAAAAACTTCAGCTCTGTGAAAGACATTGTTAAGAGAATGGAAAAAGCAAGTCACATAGTGGCAGAAAATATTTACAAAATAATCTGATGGAAAAATTGCTGTCCAAAATATATGAAGAATTCTGAGAACTAAAGAACATAAAGCAAAAAAAAAAAGTGAAAGATCTGAACACCTCATTAATAAGATATACAGATGGCAAATAAGTATATGAAAAAGATGCTCAAAATCATTTGTCATGAGGGAATTGCACATTAAAACAACAATGAGATATCACTGTAAACCTATTAGAATGGCTAAAATGCAAAAAGGTGAACACACCAAATGCTCTCAAAGATGAGGAGCAACCAGAACTCTCCATAGTTAGCGGAAATCAAAGCGGTACAGTCACTCTGGAAAACTTAAGTTCACTCAAAATCCTGCACATAAGTACTTACAGCAATTTTATCATCATTGTCAAAACTTGGAAGTACCCAAGATGCCTTTCACCAAGTGAATGAATAAACAAACTGTGTTGTAGCCATACAATGAAATCTGATTCAGTGATTTTAAAAAACAAGCTATCAAGCCATGAAAGCACATGGAGGAACTTTAAGTACATAATGCTAGAAAGAAGTTAGTCTGGAAACCTACATACTGTACGATTCCAACTCTAGGACGTTCTTGGAAAGTCAAAAAGATAGAAGCAGTAAAATGATGAGTGGTTGTCAGGGCTGGAGGAGAGGAGGAAGCAAGAAATGGTGAAGCACAGGGAATTTTCAGCAGTGAAACTATTTTGCATGATGCTGTATTGGGGATTTAGGACATTATGTAATTGCCAAAACCCATAATCTGTGAACCTCAAAGAATGAACTCTAATGTGAACTACGGACTTTAGTTGATAAAGATGTATCAATAGTGGTTCATCAATTGTAACGAATGGACCACACTAATACAACATACTAATAGGGGAAATTGTGTGCTGGAGGACAGGGG